AATAAAAAAATAAAAGACGAAGTGAGCGGTGGCTTTAGGGACTCCCGCTGTCCTCCGGGACCCCGGGGCAGGCGGTCCCGGTGCGGGGACTGTCACCGCTGCCCACCCCGGACAAAACAACGGCCCGGAGCCCACCCCGGGCGGACAGACGGACGGACAGACGCACGGACACACGGCAGCAGCCGCTCACCTGCGGGGGGGGAAGAAGGGAGGGGAGGCACAGGATGGGACCCCCCCGGTCCCTTTCTACCCCACCCCCCCGGGTACCCGGTGCGAGGGGACCCCCCCCTCTCCAAATTGCTGCCTAACCCTCCCCCCCCTCCCCCCCCCGCAGAGCATCTCCACCAAAAGCGGGAGGGGACGAAAAGAAAGAAAGAAAAAAAAAAGAATAATAATAATTAATTCAAAAGCACAATGAAAAGACACAATAAGCACCAACTTTACCCAAAAAGCGGAGCAGCAAGTTTTCAGCAGGCGAGCGGTTGCTGCGGAGCGGAGCTGCTCCTCCGGACCCCCATCATAAACTTGGGGGAGGGGGGCGTGGGAGGGACTTTCCCTCCGTCCTTCCCTTTTGTGCCTCTCCTCTCTCCCTCTCCCTCTCCCCCCCTCTCTCTGCTCTTCGCCAAAAGCCGCCGCGAATCCCGGCAGCGGCAGCGGAGGCTCTGCCCCGGCGGCTGGCGCGGAGGCCGGGCGGGGAGGGGAGGGGAGGCCGGGCGGGGGCAGCCCGCCGAGGTGCGGGGCTGCGCCGGGGCTCCCGCTGTCCCCCGCTGCCCATCAGTCCGCTCACGCCCGTAGGGAACCGTACGGACCCGCACGCAGGCTGAACTTCGGCGGGGATGAGGCTGGAGAGCTCTCAAGCCCCGGCGAGGGGGGTGAAAACTGGCTGCGGGGTCCCTCCCCTGGGTGCCGCTTTTGGTGTGAGATAGCCCGCAGGAGGGGGGCATCTGCAACAAAAGCACCCGAGCCTGTCTTCTTCGGGGAAAAGCAGACCGAAAGAGACGAGCAATAAAAGTTTGGCCTTGTGCGGGCTGACCCGTGCAGGGGTGGGATGGAGTTTGGGGTGGTTTTCTCCAGCTTGCCCTTTTCGCCTGCAATTTGCGCTACTTGCCCGGCTCGCGAGCATCCCCGCGGCCAAGGGGCAGGCCGGGCCTTTTGAAACATCTTCGCTGGGAGAAGTGCTCGCTAAAGACTGTTCCCTAAGCACAGTAACTAACAGGGCCAGAGTGCATTAATCTGTTTAAATCCTCATCTTTTGGGACCGGGGCTACAAGGAGAGAAAAAAAAAAAAAAATTAGATCTCCAAAAATTGCCCGGCTCCCACCCTGAGTATCTTTGCTTTCGCACCGATCTGGTGCATTAACATTAATACCAATGAGGAATGCAGCAGTTTTAACTTGGACTTTGGCCAGACGGAGCTTGTTACTTGATTTGTTTTGATTTCTTTGGCTATGGAATTTATCGAAAGTTTAAAACACAACCAGATGCTGCTGGGGAGGGTCACCATGCTGTACCCTAGAGCAAGCTGAGACTCGCCATATCACCGGGGTATCTGACTCCAGCAGGATTATGTCCACTTCCATGGCAACCGCATGCCACATCAGCCCCCAGCTTCACTTTCAGTCCCTTGGGCACTGTTAACATTTGCCAGTGGATTTGCCCGACATACAGCCCAGGTCTGGGCAAGTAGAAAATGAGCTTTATGCCACTCAGAAACCTTCCTCTGCTAGCCTGTGCAAAATGCAACCTGACTGGACCCCAGGCTCAATACCACAATTTTAATCCTAAAAACGTGCACTAATTTCAGTGCCTTCGGTCTGAACATTAGATGGCATTAAAGACTGATATTTGAGGGTGACAACTGGCTCCCCACACACGTCTAAATCCCATTTATTCTATTCAAGTAGCTTGGGGAGGACAGCAAGGCAATGGGTTATTTTGCCAACCACCTACATTGCAATTTCTTGTGTGTGTGCGTCTCAAAGACTAGCACTGGCATGCACCCACTATCGCATCCAAAGAAGTTGTGTCATGCCACCATGGCACGAATGCAGCCCGTGCTGGCTCCCCAGTGCAATGTTACCCCTTGTCCACAGAGAATTTTGTGCTGTGAGGAAGGAGTTTCATTGCACCTACTCCTGAAGAGCACTCCACCATGGAGAGAGGGGCTTTGGTTACCAAAAAAAGGAACAAACCAAGTCTTTGATCTCCAGAAAACAAAGCCCGCTTGTATTTCCAGGTCACTTTATTGGAGGAGGATGACCTGCCAGCTCTGAAGGTGGGTCAGAGTTTTTTTGGATGGACCAAAAAGAACTGGCAAAAGGTTAACATTAGATATGTCCTCAATTCTTACCGCAGAGTTACAAAATACATACACATCTAGACTGTTGGCCAAGACAATTTTTAAAATCAAAAGAAGGAAATAAAAGATTAATTCAGAGCAGTTATATAGTTAAGAAAGACTGTTTTCCTTTCTAGAATTCATATGTATAAATCCTTTAGAAGATGGTGGTTTTCAAGCCTGAAGGGAAGCTCCTCCCTTTTGTAGAAGGATGATGGCAGGTGACAGCTGGAGTTTTTTGAGAACCTTGAGTTGGCTTTTACATTATCTGACTGCTGTAGCTCATCTGTCCTTTCCTCTCCTGCTCTGCTCATTGAACTGCCCTCTGTTAATCTTCCATAGGTGTCTGAGATTAAATAGACGACAGAATGACTGACATTTGGTATACATAAAAGAGTCAAAATATGAACAAGGGGTCAAAGTGCAGCTCTTCCCTCTGGTCTTCCCTCCTGCTCTTGTACAACTTGATGGGGATGAAACCAAGTAGGGATTTGAAGATATATGACAATGTACAGTTACTATACGTTGCTGTAGCACAGGTGTGGGTATAGAGGACACATTCAAAAAAGTTCTCGACTAAGGGAATAGGGTTTTTAAACACAATTAAAAACATAATAAAATAAAAAAAACCCTCTCACAATGATAAAAAATTGACATACCACCAGCTCCAGGGTTGCTAATCTGAGATCTATCCCACTTCTGTTAAGTCAATGAAACAAATCTGATTAACCATAGGGGAAGCTAGACTAGCCTGGAAATGAACAAATGGAGCTTTTAAAATGTTTGATACTGTTATGAAGGAGGACTGTAATTTTTTTTATTAAAGGAAATATTTAAAGAAAATGGTTGAAAAAACAGTGGGGGATGCTCCATTATGTTCTGCTCATATCTATAGGATTTGTTTCTATAAATCTTCATAGATCGACATGATAAATTAAAAAGCTCATTTGAGTATTCCAAAGGATACACATGGGTAAAAGCTACCAGAAAAAAAAATCAGGTTATATATGTATCTCTTTTAGAAAGAAGACAATAATTACATGTAGGATGATCAGTAGGAGATAGAGGCCTAAAATCATGTTTCGTGTAATTCGTATCTTTATGATGTCTGGTTTAAGTCCAAGTGGAAAGCAGTACTTGATCAGTTCTGCCCTGATTTAAGCAACTGTATTAGCTCTGGGGTCAATAACATTGCACCGAGTCTGAACACACCTTCATATCTGTAAAATATAGCTAATCTTGATGATATCTAATAAATTAACAATGTCATGTGCAATGCTAACTCAGAATTTGCTACGAGAATGGGGAAGATTTTTTGGCACAATACATTTCTTTTTTTTTTTTCTTTAAAGTAGCCCTGTTACCTGGGGGAAATTGTAACTGTGCGCAAAAGAGACTATACTCATCGGGATGATATGCAGCTTTGATTCCTATCTGCCTCAGTGTATATGTTGTCTCTTGTTTAAAGCTTCAGTGGTAAGTTCCTTGAGGCAGGTGCCATTTTCCTGCACTGTACATTTTGATTAAGCCTTCTATATTTTTTTTCCTCTCTCAAAAGTGTATCCAAGAGTGCAATCAGTGCTAATTTTCTGATAGCTTTTTTTTGTTGTTTTCCTGCACCAAAGGGTCCATTCTTGCCACGTTTAACTTCTGCTGCATTGGGAATACTGATCTAATACCACAAATTTTTGTAAAGTTTTCCTATGGTTATGAAAGGCTACTTCCATCAGCAAAGGAGGCAGTACTTTTGGTTGCTGCAAAACTGGCCTGGAAGTCCACCTTTCACTTCAAAGAACACGTGAGTTCTTATTAAATGTTAAACACAAACTGAAATGTCTTGCTGAAACAGGACCTTATTCACATGACTATGAACACTGTAGTTACTGCTTGTAAAATGATAAGCAAGCCATTGTGAATGTGCAGTTTTCATGAACTAGGAATATATACGTCCTCCCTTACCTGTCTTAGCTCAAGGTCAGAAGTTTCTTCAAAATGCTTAGAGCCCATCATGTCCCTGTAGCTTTCAAGAAGAGTCTCATTTGCAGCTGCTCTTGCCAGACGTGACCCGTTCATGAAGGGTGAGGTGTCCTTTCTCCGGTTCAGATCTAAAGCAGAAAAGTACATTTTCCCTAAGAGTAGGTACTCCAAGATCCATCACCCAAACTACAGAAAGTTGAATATGAAAAGGTCATGTCTAGGTCTGTGCCTCTCACAGCATTTCCAGCTGTAGAGACAAGTAGTCCAATGTGCTTACACAAGGAGTAGAGAACAAATTTTGGCACAGCAGAATTTTTGGTCTATGGCATGGAGGTGAACATAAAATGCATATTTTCTGAAGGACAGTCTTTTCTCATGGTCCTTTGCAGCTTTTCATTCTTTATTCCTCTTCCCCCCGTCTCGCTAGTCTCAGTCACCCCTGCCAGTGAGGGATGGGCTACGGGGCTCTGCCTGCATGTGGGTCTGGAAAAGGAGAAGGGCAGCACACCAGCCTGCCCAGGCTGCTTCTGGGCTTTGGTCATCACAGACAAAATGTTCAATTTGATGAGGGGTCAGAAGACGATGTTCTTCCCCAGGGTTGACTGGGTTGGTTAGAGCACGTTGCCCACTTAGAGGGAGGAGAGGAGGGCAGACAGTGGGATGCACAAAATGGTAACTGGGTTACCTGTGCTCAGCATTGCATGAAGGGCTGCAAACAGCTGGAGTTGGTCAGCTGATGGAGTTGGAGTCTGTAATTCATAAGAAGTAGAGTTGTTGGAAGCTGAATTTACCTTTCATCAGGGAAATAAAGGAGAAAACTTTTCATTCACAAAAGGGTGGAGAGAATTTGTTGAGTTTTACAGAAAAATATAAATCCCTATCAACACAAAATGGATAGCCTGGCTCTTTATACATTGTACTCTACTGCATGTACACGTATTGCATGACATCCCAATTCCTAGACCCAAATTCAGGCTACTAGACAGCATTGTCTCAAGAAGAAATCTTTTGTCAGAGCTTGGAGCTCTTTCTTCCGCTCTGATTTTCAGAGTATATAAAGTGTGTGAAAATAGCTCACCTTATCTGTTTTTGTAGGTCACTTTTTCTAAGTCTTTCAGAGGAACTGTGAATCTTCTAGATGACATTTCAGCAAAAACATGGACTATTGCACTGGTCCTAATTTCAGGAGGCTGTAAAGGAATAAAAGGATTAGAAAAAAGAATATGACCATAACATCCAGATCTCAGAGTTCTTGTGTACTGAGGGCCCCTCTCTCAAGATAATATCTCTGAGGGCTGCAGAACAAGAAGCAAAGTTGTATACATGCTAAGATTTTTGAAGGGGGCTCTTAATAATCTGTACTCAAATTTTCAAATGGAGATAGTCTGCATTCATTGAAAATCAGAAGTCCGTGAGTTATCTCAAGTCAGGCATCCAGCATATCCATTCTTTACTGTAAATTTTGACTAGCATCATATGATGATGAGCAAAAAGTGAGGACGCAAGTATATGAAACTGCTGGCTGAACAGCACAAGATATCTGAAAACTCTATCAAACCAATGTGAATTTCCATTACATTTGGTGAATAAACAAGGGACATCAACATTTGAAATCAGAAGGACCCTCAGTGCCTAAATAATAGTCCTCATATGCTACTGCCCACAGAGGTCAGCCTATTTTTGCTGAAGAGACAAGTAATGTTTGTAATCATGCCTAATATATTTCAAATCAGTTATATTGTTTATAGATTGCTTATGTCAAAACCAGTGAATTCTCTGGTGTGCTTTGGGATTTATGCATTCTAGTTCTTTGCAAGGTTTGTTCTTATTTGTTGCTACCTGCAAAAATATATCTCTTGGCCCCAATTCACAGTGGAACAATGTTAGGTCATTATTTCTTGAATTGTTAGGCTGTAAAGAAGCAATTTCTCACTAACCTGTGACACAGGAAATTGTGATTCTGATGTCAGGTCATTTCTGGAGTTCCTTTTACAACAATCTGTTTTTCTGTCAGCAAATGACATTTATGTATTATTTCCAGGAAGTGTAGGCTTTAGTATTTTTGTTATGTATACTTTCAATATTTCTCTTCTGCCTCTTATTCTGCATAGCTTGGTGCTTTAATATATGATCCAACTGATAAATAAATATATTTTGATTGATAGTGCAAATACCTGGTAGCTGAAACTAGTGCTACTTTAAAGTGCTTCTCAGAATAGTTGGGTTTTCTGCTTTTGTTTTCACTGAGATTTCTTTTATGAAGCATTGCGATGAATGATTAATACCTGGATACCCCTTTTCTGCAGACTCTCTGCTGAACTCAGGGTGCTGCTCAGTGCTCCTCGTGAAGGGAACATAACCTGAACTGCCACCACAGCAAGATTTTATACTCTGATAGGGTCTGGTGTTATGTACTGCAGCCACTATTTAGGTTCTGAGCTTCCTCTTACGATAAGAAAACCGATATTTTTACCAAAGTACTGCAACCCAGTGCAGAGCTATTTTATTGTACTCATTTGAAATTGGGTAACATGTAAAACATTTGACAGATGACAGTGTGCATATGTTTTACAAATAAATATGCATATTGACTACCAAAGAAACAGTACACTGTCAGAATACGTTTTACATATACTTAGGGAACTGATGCTATAATGTTACACATCCACAGAGACAAAAGTTATTTCCATTGAAATTCACAGCATCAAACCTTTCCACAAAACTTTATCATTACTCTTTTTTTTTTTTTTTTTTTTTTTCTGTATTGGTTTTTAGGATAGTAAGTAGAGATTGTTAACTCTATAACATTTATATAATTATTTTCTTCCTGAAAGATCCCAAATACTTACAAAGCAGAGCCTAAATTTGCTCCCTTCACACACAGGAGATGATCTGTGCTTATCTCATGGGCTAAACAGATGGGAGATAGTCCTTAGTGGTAGATAATATGCTAGATTATGTGGCTATCCACAAGATAAATGTGCAACTCCTATACATTAGAATCACATTAAGCACCACTGCAGTGTAAGAGTCTTTTGGCATAAGTGCAGCAGCTATTTAATAGAGAAGAGAATTTAGATTTGTTAATGTATATATAGAACTATGACATCAGTAGAAGGTGACCAGCAAGAACCTCATAAACTTTCACTGAAAGTCTGAAATGCATTTATAGTGGGTTTTAACCATTCACTCATTTCAATTCATTGGTTCTGATGCATGGATTTAAATTGTGTTTTCCAAAACAGGTTAAAATTATGTTTCTAACAATAATAAAAAAAAAAATCTATTCCTAGAGACTTACAAATTTGGACTGGACAAATCCTAGAAAATATACTGTAGTAAGAACCTTACATGAAGGAGATGTGAGTTTATGTTACTAATATGTAGTTTACCAATCCTTGCTTTCCTTGGTTTCAGCAATGACAAAATGGTTTAGCAGAAAACATGGGGAAAAAAAGTGATATTATGTTGATATAAAATGTAGGATACATCTGGTTCTGTAGTAATATGACCTATTAATGGGCCAATTAATCTTCTAGTATCACTGAACAATCCCCAATTCCAGCTGGCAGAGACAGTATGACACAACCTAAATACTAACTGTAACATGGTGGGAATGACAGAAATCTTGGGCACCACATTGAGCATCTAATTTAGGAAGCTGTTGCTCTGTTTGCTGCATATCAGTGCAGAGAAAGACTTGTGCACTGGCTGCGTCAGAGCAAGTAAACCCAGCTGCTACTGTGAATCCCTCTTTGGAGAAGCTGTGTTTTCCCCCAGCCACCCAGGCAGCCCCAAGGGGAGCTTAGCATCCCCAGGCGAGGTGCTCATGGTGTGAACACCCCCGTACTGACCATGTAGATTATAATCAATCCAAACAACAACATTCCTCTCTGCAGAGATCATCTCAAGGTGCTGACAAACAGCAAATACAGCTAAGTTGCCCTGACTTATTAATAAATTCCAAATATCAGAAAGAATAGCATTTGAAGTCCTTCTGTCATTCTGTCCCTGTGTCCCCAAGCAGCAGCATACCCCAGAAATAGGGCTGGTAACTCACAGGATCCTGGTTCAATCCAAGAGTTTGCCCTGTTATGGACTTTTCTCAGTAGGCCTCCTACAACATATCTGAAAAATGTGCAATATTCTGATACAAACATGTTTAACCTGGCAAACATTTCCTTATGCTGCAATAATATGTTCCTCCCCACCTGGCACCTCCTGTGTTTGTTACATACAGCCCAAGACTGTGTATCTTCCCAAATGTTCTCTGGCCAGTGCATGTTTTCTCCAGCTTATCTGAAGAGTTAACTGCAAAGGACAGAGTTATGAAACCAAGTTCTGGATGAGCGTAGACAAAAGCCCGAAACAAATACAGAAATAGAGAAAGGGCAGAGCTGATGCAGAAGGTAGAAAGGACAAACTGTATTGTAGGAGAACAACTCAGTTAAGGAGTGACGCAGGCAGAACCACGAAAAAGCCCACAACAAATGAAACCTGCAGTTCAGAAGACCACAGCGAGTGCTGGGCATCACATGTGTGCAGTTTGTGAGGAAATGGGCTCTCCTGGCTACATTGCTTTCCTGGGAGCAAGCAGCTTCAGCTGCAAGCGTGCTTTGGGGCATTGAACAATTTGCAACCAAGCTGCTGTCTCCCTTTGCCGTCTCCACCACTAACTTTGAAGAGAATCCTTATGAGCTGCACGGCATTCAGCTCCCATGAAGTGACCCAAGATAGCTGAGCAGAAGGTACTACAGAGGCTAAGAGCATCACTGTTTAATTTGCTCTAGTGATTGTCACTGAAATTACTGAATAGTAGGAGAGGGGCTCACCTGCTTCTAGTGCAGTGTCAACAACACAGTCACAGAAAGTCAAGTCAAAGAGCAACTCTGAACAGCTCTAATTAATTCTGGTCACAGGTCAGCAAGGGCAACTCTGCCTCCTGAAGTGCAGCCAGTGAAGTGGAATGGTTCAGTGATGTTCAGGAGCTCCATGTGATGCTGTGGGGACTTTTACCGCAGAAATTCTGGAGGAAAAGCCGGAAATGAATTACATATTTTTAAAAAATACACTTTTCCTAGATTTGAACTAGTAATCACATTTCTTTGACCACATCAGACTCCTGAAAGGATACTCCAATTTTCATTCCTACAACATAGGTTCATAGGATCTTTTGGAAACAAAGTGGTCAGAGTCCCCACCTTGCACTTCGTCTGAAGGATGTCCAAGCAAACATTGCCTTCTCCTGTTGCACTGAGGCATCGGCTCAGTGCTGAACCAGCAGGAGGATGGCCATCGGCTGAGTCACCGAGACCACTTCCTGCAGCTCCTATGTGGTCCTTGAGTTGTCCAACCCCAAGCTGCGTTGACCTTGCCTGGCCTCGGAGGATTTTTGGAGGTGTACTAAGCTGCATGATTTCACCACACGGGTAAAAGGTTAGGAAGGAAGGGGAACAGGAGATAACTCCCTCGGATGGAAATCACACATACGAAGGGGATTTTACAGCGCACAGCACAGACATGCTGAAACAGCAGCCCAGGTGTGGTGCAGCGCACAGAAAAAGCACAAAACCCACCAGAGGCAGGTCTGATGGAGTAAGGGATCCTCTCAGACAAGCAGCAAGAAAGCCCTCTGATGCTCCCCATTCTGTGCTCTCTGTATATACCACATCTGCTTCAGAAAGGCGAAAGACTATTTTAGGCACATTTTATGGAGTTTTAAAAAACATTATTGGGACTATATTTTGTATCCCTTTGCCAGTAAAGCCAGATGACTGCACCATGGGCTAGATCTCCAGATGGTTTAAATCATCGGTCTTGCTCTAATTTGCACCAGCAAAGGATCTGGCCCCATGAGTCTAACTACACAAGGTAGATGGAGCTATAAAGAATGCGCCAAATGAGCTAAAATAGCTTTTCTAAAAATAAATGCCACAACAGGACTTCCAGTGCTACACATACGTATTAGGTCTGTTGAAATAGCATTGCCAATCCCAAGCATTCAAAAATCATGAGTTGGGCATGAGAGTGCGAGACTGGGTTTAAAAAAACAACAGCACCAGATCAAAAAGAAAGAACTGATATCAACGTGCCTCTTTTGGTTTGCATTCTTTATCTCCCTCCCTCTCTCTCTTTTTTTTTTCTTTTCTTTTTTTTTTTTTTTTTTGAGTCTTTAAGACAAACTCTGGTCATGTTTTAAAGCTTTTTATATTTTGATCTTCCCTTTCCTCCTACCCCTTCCCCCTTAGAAGCAGCAGGGCTAGGAACTTGATGCTAAGAAAAGAATGTTAAAAAATATATATATAAAAAAGAAAAAGATTCTCATGTAATTGCCTGACTCCAGAAACTGAGCTTTTAAGAAGAATATCATGAGACTCATGATAAAATCATGAGAGTTGGCAACGCTATTAGTGAGCTGGAAATGATATAAAGCTCCCACTTCAGCAGTCTATGAAGTATTGGACTTTAAGTCACAAGCTTTTTATGCTCAGAAAACCTGTCACTGCATTATGACTGGCCTTTTCATTGTCACAGGTCTTCACATTTCTATTAGATCAATTTGGATTGTTTCTAGGGGTCTTCTGTTTGTGTGTAGTCAAAACAATATTTGGCAACAAAAGTCTCGTGCAACAAATTACAGCTGGATACAAAAGGGAAGGGGCTTGAAGTAGGCTGTGAGCCTGTAAAAAAGGCTACGTCTAGGGAAAATGAGGTATTTCCACCCGGCTGCATTTGCTGGACTTGGACAAATCTCTGAAGAGCTAAACCATCCCTGAGAGATGGATCTGCAAATGCCTATTTTACATTAGCAAACTAGTAGGATCCTGGGGGAGAAAAGAACAAATAAACAAACTTGGAGAATTACTTTGGAAGCCTGACATCTACCAAAGTCTGCGACAGAGATTAGCATGTAGCTGGAGGTAAGGGAGAGCACGAGCTCCCAGCAGCATGGGGCTGCGGGATTTTCCTGACTACTGTGTCCAGTCAGTGCTAATCCATGACAATGGGAGTCATTCAAATCAGATGTCTAAAGCAGTGAGATTGCCACCTTCCAGGGCACAACCAGCTTGGGGCATCAATTACAAAAAATAAGAGGTTGGGTGACTTTTGTGTGCCTAATGCTGCTGCCATCTGAGGGGTCAGCCCAGCTGCAATGGGCTCCAGTTAGCACATCAAGGTGCCCAGGGCCTGGCCTAGGCTGCAGAAAGGTGGGAGATCACTCCATGCCTTTGAAAACCTATTAGGAAGCATCGATCCTCCCAAGTGAAAGTTTGAAAGACTTGCACCAGACTTAGGAAAACAGATAGAGAGAGGTGTGAGTACATCACACCTCGCTCTGGCTGTTAAAAGGCCCCCATTGCTGAGGGACCTGCACGTGACGGAGCTGACACTTCCAGACACTAACCACGTCCACTGGTTATTTGTCTCTCTATGCAAAGCTTTTACATGTCCTTTCAGAAGTGAAATTTCGGGTGGCAGTGGCTGTGCACAACTAACAGAGCTCGCACCCCCGCTGCTGTTTGATCTGGGCATTTGAAATCAGCTGCGCTGTGGTTTTAGGTGGAGAGCCCTTGACTTTCAAACAGCTAATTTACTTCCTCAGCACAGACTGCGTAGGCAGGAGAGCACTACAGGAAACCTGGTAGGGGAGAAGTCCACAGTGCTCACTCTGATCTCTCTTACACCAAAGTGCAGCAGGAAAAATCCCATTAAGCCCAGGGAACGACACAAGCACAAGCAGAAGAATTGCTTAAAATTATAAATAACAAATTCCAGAAGAGAAAACCTAGACCCAGCTAAACAGTGCTGTGACTCTAGGCCATCTTTCAAGGGGCCTGTAACAATTTATGTGTTTGAGTGAAACAGGAAAACTCCTGGTAGCGGTGATGGAGTTTGCTTTGCATTTTGAATCCAGAACTGTAACCTGGAGAACCCCACACAAGCACAGGAGCATCAGGACTGCAGAATTTATTGCTGAGACTTTTAGAAGACCCAGACCTGTTCAGTGAAGGGAGGCAGTACTGGGGAACACTGCAATACACAACCAGGAAGGTTATCAGGCTCTTGGGAAGTAATATCAATTTCTTTAGGGTTCAGAGAGGAAAAAACCAAACAGTTTTGTGTAGTAGTGCTGGACATTTTGAGAATGCCATGCATCCAGAAATCCCAGAGAGCCACAGCACGCACATCCTAGATCTGTACAGGAGTGGTTTGGCCAACATACTCCTTTTCAAAGAGTCCCAAAGCATGCGTGCAAGTACTATGGAGATGCAAAGTACTCTACATCTCATGATCTCAGGAACCATGTGCCTTACTGCATACATAATGAAAGGCCAGACTGAGGTACAGTAAGCTCTATAAATAAACAAATGAGCTTGCTGCACTTCAAACAAGTTGGTGAAGAGTGTATCACCATATCCATTCTGCTTTTAATGTTTTGTTTGCATATGGAAGTTGAACTGCAAAGCTGGCAGTGAGACGATGCTCCTTAGTGGACCAGAACGGGTATTTAAACTATGACGTTCTGCCATCTAGTGGAAAAGTGAAAATCACGTCTCAGCCTGCCACTAAAGGTGCTAAAAAAAACCTTATCAACAAACCTGTAAGGAGCAGAACGAGCTGCTTCAGAAAGGTGAGATGCACAGACAAGGTTCCCCATGGATAACAAGCTCAGGTTGGCATTTGAATCTCCGATGGCTGTATATCTGGCCAGAAATTTATAGCATGTATGTACATATGCTCGTAACATTATTCCATGTGTTCATGTATATTTAAAATATGTTTTAAAAGCCCAACGTTTATTGAAAGTAACTATCTCCTGTCCTATTGATGTAGCAACTAAACTTGGCCTAAGTTATCTTCTAGCCACCTAACCACAACTTTTCACACAGCTAAGGGAGACTACATGGGGATTTAGAGCACTCCTGAACTGTATGATTTCCCCAGATTTCCCCACAGGGGTCAGTATCATTTTGCTCAAGGTAGACAGGTAATTCTGCCCCATGTTGCCAGAGATGTGGGCACGTCACTAGCTTCTTTCCCAAAAGTGGAGTATCTCCATCATTTCCCCCCCCTTATTTTGGCATGCAGAAACTACAGGGACCCGGTGTACAACATGCTGGAGATTAGCACTCTGGGAATCAGAAGACCATTTTGAAACCCAGGAAATCTTATTCTCAGGATACTTCTCAAGGCAGCAACTTTACTGGGTGGGAGACACCATAGCAGCTGTGGGAAAACATTATTTTTGTGGGGACCTGCTTAGCATGCACAATCTGTAATGGTCAGCACTTCCCAAGAAGTATGCAAATTTTTCTGTAAACTTATTCATGGAAGTTTAATGGGAACACTAGCTATTAGTGGAGGGTCATCACGCCTTTCTAGCATGATATTGAAACCAAATTGCTGCTACCGCTGCTGCTTGGCTCCTTGCTTTGCCTAACCCTGAAAAAACAGAGGTGCTACCAAACCACTCCTGAATTCTCTTACACATCACGATCCAGGCAATTCCCTCCATGATGGCCTGAGGTATTCAGAAGTGTGCCTAGGTCTCTGTCTAGACAAAGGCTTTACACAGATGGGTAATTCCATGCCATGAAGATGTATCTTTAATGATTGGTTTGGTTGGTTGGTTGGTTAGTTTGTATTCATGGGACACAAAGATATTTTTATGATGTGAAGTTTCAATGTCAAAAGTTTACACAAAAATGTAATTGTTCTAAGTCCAACTCTGCCACCTCGTGGTGGATTTAAAAAGTTTACTATTTAACATAATACTGGAGGTAGCTATCAATACGGGATATAAAATATTTCTGCTAAAGACCCACAAGCTAAAATATTTATAAGAAAGATACTCTTATGCATTTCTAGGAATACTTCCATTCTTCAATGAGATAGGGTAAATATTGAACTTTCTCTGTAGCTGTTTGCTTTACGTTTTTGTCCCAGATAATGAAATGCTGACATTTGTTTCACATTTGTGAGGAGCTGGCTTGTAGTCAGGTTCACTTCCCAGTTCTCACGCAATGGCTCCATGTTGCAGTGCTTGGATTATAAACAGGGGAGCATTTAAATTCAAGCAATTTCTTTTCCTCACTGAGGTCTAGGTAGGAGCCAAGTTTTAAACAAAGCAGTTCAGTCAATTATATGCAAAAATTATTATAAAGCAAAGAGCCACTTAAACTTTTTGGATAACAGATATTTTTAAAGTGCCAAGAGGCAACACAAAGTGCTGTCCTCGCTGAAATGAGTTACCCAGCCTGCCTCCCACTCTGGGACCTGATACTTCAGAGGAAGAAATAAAAAACTCTGCTTTCAAAGACTGGGTCACCTCAGTCTTTTCCTCCCTCCCTGTACAGCCAGCAGTTGGCAAGCCATAGCAAACAAACACCTTGTTTTCACTGTGATTATGTGGTCGCACCGCGCATAACAATATGAACTTCCCTTCACCCTGTCTTCCTCCCAGGCGAGTCTCCAGTTCCCAGCTCCACAACATCTAGGGTGGTTCAACAGACCACCACTATGTCAACCTCCATTTCCATCCTCACTGTTCAGCCTCACATATCATTAATGCATAACTGCTTGCCCCATCTCCCCCCTTCTTTCTGCTGTCACCTTCAATACTGATGTGCACATCTCTTCAGGTGCAGTAGGCACTTGGGTTTGAAGCCACATAAATTTATCTCAGCCTTCTGAACAGACAAATCCAGATTAAAAGTTTTGATGTAAACCTTACCATTACTTTCTTTCACCTTCCTCTTCTTCCACTACCACAATTAATGTCCTTGGAGATGCAAAGCCAAGAGCAAAACAGTAGAAAATAAAAGGATTCACAAAGGGCCTGCAGCCAACCCCATCTCCTACCTCCCAGTCATGTCAAATAGTGATCTTTGTCCTCCTGGTGTCCTACCTGCCACACCGACGCATCTCCTGTGGCACCTTGGAGGAGGCCAGGCTTGGCAGTCAGAGAAGCCAGATGTCAGGGTCTACAAAGAAAGTTTTCAGCAGTGGCAGCTGCTTGTCAGATCACGTTCCCCTGAAGGCTTGTGTTTGGCTCTGACAGCGTATCTGTTGGTGGCCATGCTTGGTCTTGCAGAAGTCATGCGTGGGATCAGGTCCCAGTGGGAAAATCAAGTTTCTTCTCCTGAAAGGCAGCCTCCAGTGATTCACAGCTCTGGGAAAGTGTTCTCTTTCTTTATTCTCATATTTTCAGAAAATACTCACGTTCAATTTGTATAGAAATGCATTCTCAAGAAAGACAGTTTTCCATAATTTCTAAAGAATTTCCCTCTTAAAAGGAGAATGAAACTTCTCTAATTTGTTTTCTTTCTCAATAGTAAAAATCTTTAATAATAAAAATACTCATCCTTATTTAGAATAGTTTTTATCCACAGATAGGAATTGGCTTTAAGATATTTATGAAGAAAACTGATCATCATTTGAAACAGAGGAAACTGATTTACAAAGAAACTCAGGAGAACAGGTTAGAAAAGTCAGCTTTTACCACAAAATGAAAATATTTGAGACAACCTCTCAAAAAACAGAGAACTGTGTCATTAAATGAGACATCACCTTGAACTGTGAGTCAGGCAAACACTGTGTCTGTCTTTTCCTCTGGGCAGTTTTGTTGGGAGATGGCATTTGCTGCTTCTGCTTGTACCACTCTTGTCCTTTGGATACCGGTTTGGTGGCTGGTCACAGACTCGGGATTCAGGATTTTGGCTTCTAGTGCCTGTAAAATAAGAACAGCACGTTCACAAAGAGGGCACAGTATATTGAATATGAGGAAATCCTTGACTACAGTGGTGATAAGGACCCTAGTAAATATCTACTTTGACAGCTTTGATAAACAACAAATGCCATGGCCTGAGAGAAACATTAACCCTATTCCTACTTTTTGAGGAAAACTTGTAGCATAGCAGATGGACTTCTCCTGATCCCTGCAGCTGTCCCACCCAAGGGAGAACCATTACCAGCCAAAGCAAATTCCTCAAGAGCTGGATGTTACCATGCAATCCCAAGTGACAAAGTCATTTGGCCTTCAGGTGTAGACTCTCGCTCTCAGTTGCTTCTTTAGACAGTGAATTACGCTAAAAATAAATGATGCAAAGACACCTCTCTTCAGATTTTAAGTGTATTGTCCTTTAATTTTGTAAAGTGTTCCTCCTTAGGATTTTCTGAGGATACAAGGCACAGGTTATACCTTGTTGAATTTTTCTTATTTTATGTCAGACTTTTCTTCTCCTCAGGAGTTTTAGCTGTTCTTTCTGCTTCTCTCTATCCTCATCATATTTATTATTTTTTTTGGTTTTCTGTCAGATTCCAGTGTTCTTCCAGAACCCTGCTGTTGTTGAATATGGGATAGCATACAAGCTCTTAATAAAGGATCCTGTGAGTTAACATCCATGCAGTTTTATCTGAATAACTGTGCTAGATAAAAAGAGCTTTCATAATTTCTGTTGCTACTGAAGGGGCCAGCAGCTGACATATGTGAGGAGCTGCCTATTAATAGCTGTTTGCTATTCAGTCCCCTGACAGCATAACCTGATACACAGCCAGAAACACTTTCATGTCTTAAACATCCTTCTCCTGTCTTCCCTGCATACAAAGCTTTCTGGAGAAGCCTCAGTCCAGTAAACTGTGATGCTGCAGGCTGTGCTGTGCAGCTCAGACCAGCTGATCGAGTCATCCCTCATGTGCATTAATTCTGCAGAAGTTACCCATGCTGACCAGGAACGGCAGCTTAAGAAATCAGCACAAAAGCTTTACAGGCAGGTTATCACAATGACATCTAAAGAGAAACAGTCAACTACTGAGAAGTCCTGGCACACAAAGAGAGTTTTCAGAGGTGCCCAGCTGCCTGCTCATGGTGGCAATCAGAGCTGCTGCACGGTGTGAGCTGGCGGCTACGCACTAATGCCAGGCCCCAGCACAGGCATCATGGGGAAGCAGCCCTATGCTGTCTGCATCACAAAAAACTGCAGTTTCCCCTCCCCTGTCTCTCAGGGGTACTGTCTCACTGCTGTTTGTGTTGCGATGGGATCAGACAAGACTTATCATGCCATAGTGCTCGGACATAGTTAAGGCAGCCAGTTAGTTCCTTCTTATCTCCTCCAGGCCAAAGGGACGTTCACTCACAGTTTCTGCTTTACCTCCAAAGCTAGCAAATTGCACAGATGATTAACGTGTCTTTTCTCCTTAAATCAGTGCTGCTATCATCATGACACGTAATTATGAATGTTATTTTCACATTAGGGCACCAATGGAAGATTGTAGAGTTTTTCCTACCCGTGTTGTATTTTTGCTACATATAGCTCAGTGTCAGTATTGGAGACACAGGCAGGGAGAACCACAAGCCAGGCAGTAGATGGCACCAATGTACAGCAATCAAAGGAAGCATCACAAGGCAAAAAATATTTCACATTGCTGTCACTTCTTACAGCCCTTCTGTTTGACCTTATCAGAGCTCAAAAACAGCTTTGCTAATGATTACTTCCCCATAGTAAAACCCAGATCCTGACACCTTTGCATATAACCACAAGCACAGCTCTCAGTGAACCTTTTTTTTTTTTTTGTCTTGCATTTACCAATGTGAATAAACAGCATGACGGATAGCATCAGGGATCTCCTCACCACTCTGCTTCATGCTTGGAGTAGATCACTAATGTCCTGTACCCCTGTCTTTCTGCCTGCTCAATCTGGTGCACAGTCAGGGTATCCATACATACACCTAATCTCAAACTGACAACCAGATTTGGATTTGGAGGGAATTTGTGGGTAGGGGATGTGTACTGATTTATTTTTCCCCCTACTTCATACCCTGGACCATAATCTGCTTTCCAGAAACCATTGGAGAGTTTTCTCTAGCAGAGATTTCTAGCTATCACTAAGACTTTGGACATCAGCAAAGCCATCTCTCTTTCTTCCTCTTATCCTACAACATATTGTAGTTTCAGTTTCTCACCATTTACTCTTGGTCTTAATTTTCTTACAATATTTTATGGCCCACAATGTGGATGTCTAAGTTTGATATATCTTACAAAGTTGCCCAAGATCACTGAGGTCTATCATGATCCAGCTGGTCATTCAGTCCTGATTTCTTAGTGCACCAGACACTGCCTTGCACTTTGCTGACCTGTACTCATAATCTGACTTCAGAGCTGCAGTAGGATGAGGTTTAATGGCTTTGTTTACAAAGAGGAGCACAAGGCAATAGGCACATTCCAGTAAATTACTTTTAACACCTCTTGACTATGACAGTGCTATTCACTGCCTTTACTCCCCCTCTTCCACGACTATTTGTACTGTTTATCAAATAAACTTAAAAAGCGAGTTCACCTGAGACTGGCAGAAGTCACAAGAGAGCAACTCCCCTAGAGTTGCAAGAGGCTTTTCTGGTTATCATATATTTTAAAGCATCTCAAAGCATTATTTCTATATAACAGATTATTTTTGTGAAACTTCAAAATTGTGATTACGAAACAAAACAAAAAAAAAAAATGGCAAAGCTGTCACTGTCCTCCTACAGCTTTTAGCCAGCTCTTTTTGATAAACTCATTACTGGCCCTGTATAATACTAATTTTCCTAGCAATTTTTCAGCTTGTTCTGCCCCCTTATCTCCTACTCTCCTTCAACACACAAAGGAATTTGTTTTAAGAACCTTAAAGAACCTTAAGAACAAGATTTAGTTAGGGTTTTTTGTCCACTTGGGTTCATTACAAGGTGAGCTCCCTTTGCATATCTGAGTCAGAATAACCTTATCCTGAATACTCTTAAGGTAACTGAGAGGAATCTCAGAAAGACAAATTACAAAAGACTTCAAGTCTCCATGGCATCTCCAATAGATCTGAAAATCCCACTCCATGAGGATTATAGATGGTCCAGTAGACACTACAGAGAAGTATAGGAGACAGACTCACTACAAGTATGAATTTATTTTCTGTCCTTGTCAGAACTGCTTAAATCTCTGCACTTCCTTTTCCTGTTTTTCGCTTTCTTTCCTTGCTAGGACACAATTATGAGATCAGAAGTAAACAGTCATATATTTGCTCTGTGCTAATAAAATCATACAGATTCCTTCACTCCCACTTCTAAAAACAATTAAGCAAAACATTTGCAAGGAATTAACATCCACTTTGTTCTGAAACAACCTTGAAACCTAAAGAAGGATTTCACATCGGCATGTAGTTTTACACTGACAGGCACATTTAGAACATTATGACTCATATAAGTATTTCTGGGTCAGAGAAAACAGGGTTATTTACCTTTTGCTGAAGAACCATAGTCCTTCATGAGGGAGGAAAAACAGAATAGGAATAGTCTAGCTGGGTTGTCAGTACTAGGTCTCTACAGTTCCTACCATGTATAACCATTTAATAAGGTAAGAAATACATATTCTCCTTTATTTTCCCTCCACCCCCACCAGCCCTAGACAACTCTAATCACAAACCAGCTCTCGACGCCCATTTGAAACTTTCAACATCAAAGATCAAAGGCCTCAGAAACCTGACCATGCAAGAGGTCATTAATTGATATTGCCAGTTGGGGTGGGGGGAGTACTGTGACTCATGGGGATTTGTGGGTGAAACTGTGTGGGTGATCTTAGATAAGTAATGTTGATAACTGTTATTAGGCCAGTTAATATAGGTGGATACAGAAGACTAGCTTTGGGACATACCGTTCTTGGGAAATGGACCGTGCACCATGCTGCAGAAAAGGGGAAAACTATAGAAATCAGAGAGAGACACCTTGATACCTGCTGTGTAAATACTTTTCTCTCAGCGCAACTCTGGTAACTTATTTAAACCTGATGGCATGAAGGACACATCCCGGGTAGGCACCTGTTTTCTCCACAGCACTACAGTACCCACTGAATGTGCTTTCATGTCCTTTGGCTCCGTGTTTCCATGGGAAGTCTTCCCCCTCCCTGAGTTGTGCAGGTCCTGAAACAAAACTTGCCTCCTTGTGCTGCTGAGCAGCATCTGCCACTGCCAGGGTGTAAGTGAGGGCCATCAGGACCTTGTGTCATTAGGGCTTTCTGTACTCTAGAGAGCTCTGCTGGAGATCAGCAGAAAGCTAGCAGCACTAACCCATTTAAAAGGACAGTAGGCTCTTAATTAGTCAATGCCATTACACTTCTTTTTAGATGTATGATGTAGAATGCCACTAGAATACTGATCTGTAAATGTCTGGTGTTAGAAAGGTACATATCTGAACATGCCTAGGGGATATATATCTTGGTAACACATGGCATCCTTTGAGCCACACATGTGGCAAGGGTCTACCCACCTGGGGCAATTCCTTTCCATCATGCCCACCCAGCAAGCTTGCAGGGGCTACAACTCCTTTTACAGAGAATTAGAAGTTGTTTGAATAGAGGAGGCTAAAAGGCCCAGAAGATCATGTTGGGCAGGGAACAATCAGCTAGTTTAGCTTTGTCAGTGGAGGAGGATGAAATAAAGGCAGGCAACTGCTATTCTGGCTCCCGCATATGCTCAGCAGTTAGACCTAGTTAGAAAAATCTACTGTGACGTTCAAGGCAATCCAGTCTATTTGTCAGTTGATCAGTTTGATGAGAAGAGTCTTCTCTGACAGGGATAGATCCAGCGGAGTGAGGAATATCCTCCATAGCCCAGCAATGCCATGAAAGTTCATAAAGAAGACAGGGGTTATGGTGTTCTACCAACACAGACAAAATACCTAAGCTAGGATCTGCAGTAGTGCTGTTACACTCAGATATCCCAGAGGATGGTGAGAGCTAGCTGAACATGGAAAGAGGTACTTTCCATAAGATTAAATGTATAAAGCAGAGTGCTACAGCTCTTCCCATGGGAAGAGTAGCAGTACTGAGAAAGCTAGCAGGCTTGCTCTGTGCCTCTGCCATAACATCACCTAGAGATGATACAACATCCACGCTTGTAGGAAGGTACATAGGGAATATGGAATGAAATTTGCTTGTTTGCCCAGCACTAAAGTGTCTACGGTAATTGGCACTGAGGTTAGAAATTGAGCCCTTCTAGTGAAGCAATAGAGCACCTAGTCCCCAGTAGTTTCAGGTCCCTAACAAAAAAAAATATTTGTGAAGTCCTTTTAAATAGGGAGTTGCATGCAAGCAGCGCATTTAGGAGATGTGAAGTCCTACCGTCCACCTGGATCAAGTGCATGGTGCATTAACTAAATTAGAATTTAAGAGTGGCTGTGAAATCAGGGTCAGATCAGAGGTCTATCTAATCAAGTCCCATATGTCCAGGACACACAAAAAAGAAGATACCTAGGAAAGAATAAGCTCCAATCATTTCTAGCTTATGGTAGCTCAACTAGAGGTTGTTTCTGTCTATTTAATAAACTTCAATTAATTACACTTCCCTGAACTTGCCTAGCCTGTCCTTGAACCTATCCACAACATCCTGCAGCAAGGATTTCTCTGCATTAATTTTACACTATATGAAAAACCACTTTGTACAGAAGCCATTCTATATATCTGATGATCCCCATTGTCCTTTTACAAACCTTTTCCAGTTCTATTGTACTGACAAATTTTGTCACCTAACAATTAATTTCTTCGAGATCTGTCATTGGCGTGTTGAACAGCACAAGTCCCAGACATCCATCTTTTTAGACATCCAAGCAGTATATATGAATTGGCTTTTCCTTATCCGCATGCTTGCTGACCTTTCAAAGAACCATGACGGATTTTGATGCACGAGCAAAAAGACTTTGTATAGGTTCCTGCCATACAAGTCTGCCCATCAGACACTGGCCAGTTGCCTTATCCTGGTGTACCTAAAGCAAGATCTGCTTTTGGTTTTAATGTTCTTTGTTCATGATTCTTAAAATGTTGAATCAAAGTACTCTGTGGTCACTATTATAGGTCAACACTTTGACTATAATATTTTGACTTCTCCATGATCTATTCCTTCAGTCATACTTCCAAGATATTTAAATTCCCAATAAATTTGCAGATGGCACTTTTTTCACTTCCTTTTCTGAGGCAAATAAGATACTTATACTCATCAGTTGTGGGCAGACAACTTGACATAAAAGGCAGGGTTCAAAGCCTGAAATTTTCTAGATTCTAATTGCAAAATTGCAACAAAAATAAAAGATCTTATCTGAGATAAATTGCTGTTACATAATTAACACTACTTACTTGAAAATATGTTATGTTCTAAAAATGCTAGAGGGTAAAAAAAATACAACAACAATGATGAGATGAAGGAAAAAAATTGTGTACTCCAATTTTCAGGCACGAGTGGGAAGGAACTGCAGAATGCTGGGACAAAGATGTGTAGGACAAATATATCGCCTGCATGTGTACTGTTACCAAAATACTCACTGAAACACATGGGGGATAAACAACCTTATTTAGAATACAAGATTGCACACACAGTTAAAAAGCTGGGAAAATAACTTGAAAACCTAATGAGCATCAAATGGATACTGTGGAGGAAAATGCCAGAGAAATGGCAGGTGTGAAGGCTACGTAAGATGATCTTCGATGAAGAAGTCAAGAGGGTTATGAGTACTTAAGATTTGTATCACTTGTTCAGATTAAAGATGATAGCTCTTAACAGGAGGACGCTACTGACGAATTACATTGTCAAAATATTGTTGTTATATAGGCATGAAGAGTAAAATATGTTTAAACACACAGTTTTGGATATAGTGAGATATCTGTTCAGCTCAAAGTAAAGGATGCAGCTATTGCTTAAAAAGTAGGATCTTGTCTGCAATCAGAAATGTGCATGCTGGGATAAGTCTATTCATGGGAACTACGGGCATTACACTTAAGAAAGACACGGAGTCTGAGGAGAACAAGCATGAAGGTCACGGATTATAGACCTCTGACCAAGGACGCAATGTTGACGTTACTGGATTAGGAAGACACTGAGAAGATACAGTGGTCTGTAAATGATCAGAAGAATGCTGTACAGAGTAAAGTCAATGTTTCTATTTAATTGCTTGATAGTTATGGCAAAAATTAGATTGGTAACAACGCTTAATAACTGTAGGGGTAGGGAAGAAAACTAAAAGGTCACCTAAAATGACTAGTGAAACTACACAATGGGAATTTTTCTACAACCATATTCCTCCTGGGAGTGTAGTTGACCCTGTTCTGTACCAGAGAACTTCTCTAAGTCCCTCCAGACCTGATCAGTGATATCTGTGTTTCTATTAAGTTATGCAAAAGGCTCGATGATTATGAGAAGATGATGATGGTTACCATATTGTTTTCCAAATCAAACCGGCGTGTTATAAAGACTGATAAAAAAAATGTTGACTTAAAAATGAACACCATCACCAACAAAAAAAATATTTTTCCCCTGAAAAATCTACATTTTTATGGAGAAATAAAAACAAAACCACAAAACCTGTATCAAAATATTTCAAATGAAAACAAATATTCTGATTGAAATAAAGAAATACTCCAATTTAAGAGTGTTGCCCTGGTAACCAGGGACACTGTCATTCTGTGGTCCTGTTCTTCCCGTTCTCCCCCATGAGTCAGCCTTCCAGCTCGCCCAGCCCTCCTGCAGCTGGGACTCCTGTTAGGGGCTGTTTTTCCTTTTCCCAAAGGGTGGATCGTGAAATACCACAGTACCTACAGCCCAAAGAGGATGCACAGCTGGAAGTGAACAGGATCTAGAGGAACCCACAGCATAATTTCAATGATGCATGAGGCAAAATATATAGATAGAAATAATTTCTATACAAAATAATTACTTTTCATAGATTTTTTTATTTTTTTATTTTTTTTTTTTAGGAAACGAACAGCTGTCCCTTGTCAACCACAGCTTCAGAAGGACTCCAAATTAATTTTTGACAAATTCTTGACAGCACCCCTCATATCTCTAACACATCACAGGGAATTATCTGATTCTGTAACTTTTGACTACTTTGGTGTCCCTCACATGAAGGAACAGCTTTTGCCAACATTCACTCCAGCCATTGGAAAAGTCAATATCATAAGCTTCCCCTAAAGCAAGATTCAGCCTCCACCAGGCTGCGCTCAGAGGCTCAGCACTGTACTCAAAAAATGAGAAAATAAAACACTGATAAAATAAACATACCTTCATCCCGATTCAATGGGAAGTCTATCAGCTCCTTATTAATAATGTCTCTTCCAGATGAATGATCTGGCGAGACAGCAATTTCACTGTCCTGTGTTCACATTTCAGAGGGGGGCTCTAAAAGGAGCAGCTGGCTGACTTCGTGGAATGGGCCAGCAACTCCAGCAGAGCCCAGAGGGGTATTTTAGGCAATATTCTTCAATAACAGCTTCACGTAGTGCTCAGGTGAACGGCAGTGCCCCACCTAAATATTTGACCTGAAGCTGCCACTGAGCAGGCTCTCCAGCCTGACTTCTTTGATGGATCGATTTGGAATGTGTTAATGGCATTACTCAGCACAATAAATAAAATGCGACTCACCTTAACGTTTCTTGGAAGTAGTCATGGAGTTTATGACACCCGGTGGGAACAGCAAGAGAGGGTCATCTGGAAGGAACAGGGAAACATGCCGAGTACTCACAGGGGAAATTTCAAGAAACAGATGGAGAAAATATCAGAATTCTCAGTAGCCTCCAAGGAACAGATGAAAAACTTGTGGGTCAATAAGCCAGAGAGTGAAAGGCTCAAAAACCCAGGTTTGTGGTTGGATTATCTAGTCCATGTACTGGGAAATGCTAATGATCTACTAGATCCTCCAGGCTTCATGGGTGCAGAATTTGGAAAACTTCTGAGGTGAAGCCATAGGGAAGATATTTCTTGTGTTATTTATGGGAAATAAATAATGATGGGAAAAAAAAAAAAAAAAAAGATTTGTTAAGTGGAAAGGAAGACATTCTAACCTCTGAAGAACCTCAGAAGGAATCTGTTTATTCCTTTCTTTTTAAACGATTAAATCAGTAGGAGAGAGAGAATTTTCTAACCTGATAATCAGATCTGTTACTGAAGACACAACTGGTGCAGAAAATCAGCACAATAACAATTTTAGATGGAAGTGCCATTTGTAGCTGTTAAATTACCCAAAGGATCTTTCACATGAATGCTCCGGACTGAATAGCATGTGTGTACACATTCCAGTCATGGGTCCAAAACAAATTAGGAAGCTAATACGCGCCCTCCACTGGGATTTAATTGACCATTAGTTTCCTAGGTTCTGAAAAATCATGTCATTATATCTAACTTATTTCTACATTGCTTTTTACCCCCATAGGATCCTAGTGCTATATACATTGAAAAAAATGCATCCTCCACCACAAAAATGCTATCACCTATTGGGGGTGAAAGCTTCTGCCCGGCAACACTCCACAACTGTTGTAGACATTTTTACCCAGGAATTGAAAAATACTGTATTTCACTACAATTACACCGAAGAATGTAGGTCAGACAAACATAATTACCAATTACAGAGTTTAGATGAAGATGTGGCAGTAACAAGCTCACTGCTGAGAAACAGTATAGCTAGTTCTTAATAATAAATTTCCTTTAGACATCAGCCTGTCCCCAAAGATTCACACCAATAAAGCATAGCAGAAATGTAACAAAATCCTTTCAAATGTCTAAAGGGACTTTATCTTTAAAAAAAATAAAATTAAAAAAAATCAGGATTAACCATAGTCAACCAAAACAACACCTTTCACGAACAAGTTCTTGAGATTTTAGCAGAGCAACAAGTTCCACAACAAGCAGCTCTGGTTTATATTTGAGAGGAACAAGAAACCCCTAAGAGTATAATGCCTCTAAAAGCCAAACTGGCACCTGGGTTCAGTATTGGTTTGGAAAGTGCCAGTAACGGACTCAAGTGTGTTACTTCCATAGAAGTAACCAACCCAAGGCAACCTTGACAGCTCATCTCTGCTTGTATACTCATCCATCTCTGAACTTGGTTAGCCAAACTGTGGGGTAATACCAAATGTCAAGGCAGTAATTCGAAGAAAAGGCTGAGCTTTGTGGTTTGTGAGATATCAGCCTTACTGTCCATGGGGCTCTGTTTGGAGAACAAGCCAGCAACATATTGCTCAGCTGCTTTCCTCAGAGCACGATTTACCACCTTCTGTATTCTGATCAGTGGTGAACAAGCCCTAGATAGCTGCCAGTTGGAAAGCACGCTCTTTATATGGCAAAATCCATGACTGTATGTCTTTTTTTATTTATTTATTTTTATTTTTTTTATTCCTCATGAAACAGTTAATCATGTGACTCTCCGAGTCTGAAGATTTTGCAACTGTCACAGGGCTGCACCAGACAGGTATCTCGGTCAGGTATTTGGACTTTCTTTAAACTCCATAAAAATAACAAACAAAAGGTTTGACCTTGTACTGTACGTGCATGAACGCAGGATTTAAACAGATGCAGAAAAGATCAAGAATTTCAAATAGGCCCAGGAGAATGCCATTCTGCATGAGTATATTAGGCTTCAGTATAAAAGCTCACCATAGAAAAAGAAATGAAATTAAATAAAAAATAAGTGTGAAACCCAGGAGTACTAGTAAGAGGTTGAATGCTCTGTCCTATTCCTTGCTTTCTGTCACTAACCACGGATACAAAAAGATAAGCCCCTTTCACAAAGTAAATAACACTCTCCTATTCTGGCAGCTATTGCTCCATCCTCATTTGAAAGAAAATATAGAAAAATAAAACACAATGATCAGAAGTACAGCCAGTCAACATACACAGGCACGTGTGTCTAAGAGGGATGTCACCGTAGACAATCAGATTTTTTAAAATTTTATCATGCATCTTTCATTAACCATCTGTAATATTCAGTGGCTTTCAGATCACACACTCATTTCTAGAACAATATCCACTCGAAGGAAATTAAGCAAAACATTTTAGCTAGAGAGAAGACAGGAGTATGCCACTGTCACACACAGTTATAAACAGCCATAGGTACTGTTATGCCTATGCAGTCACCATGATACTAAATTTTACTCTAAATATGGAAAAACGTCCAAGTGACAGAAGCCTTACACATCCATGAGATACATTTCTAAAAAATGTATTTCTGAAAAAGATATGCTGTGTTTCAAGTATGAGTTGTGGGGCCAGATGCTGGAATCTGGGTGAAGAATTATAGGCTGTGTTTATAGGAGGTCAGCTTGGGTAACCACAATGGCCTGAAAATTTATTAATCTCATTTGAAAGATGGAATGCGATCTTTAACTTAATATAAATACACCATCTGCAGCAGTGAGTCCCGAGGAAGGCATTAGAATATGGAGCAACTTAGGCAGAGAGGAAGGAACCAAGTGTGAGATAAGGCCAATATGAACAGCAAAGTCTGATGTCTGTTATCCCCTGGAGAAGCTGAGGCTCAGACCCGAATGAAGCTCAGAGTTCCCCAGATATCACCTGTGTTTCTGGAGAAATCTTAATAATCTTGTTAATGCTGGGTGCAATGCAGTTCACCCCAATGAGAGTGAGAACAGGATCTGATGACAACATGCACTTACTCATTCACATAAGGAAAAAATACTGCATCCAATGTGAAAATTATTTCATAACTCATACTGATTAACAAAGAACATATCAGTCATACAGCTGGAAAGCGACATTATCCTAAGAGCTTGTAATTAAAAGTGGACAAAATGAAGACAATTGTAGCTGGTACTTCCCAAAGGCTAATATCCTCCAGCTGAGGAAAATTATGAGAAGAGTGAGTGGGAGGAAAAACTCAGAGAGGAAAAAATGAATGAAAATCAGAAGTTCTTTCAGAACAGACTCCGTCCATCAGCATCAACAAGGACAGACTGGCTAAGGCCCAGCTACTTCAGTGGTAAACCAAAAGTATTTTAAAGATTCAACAAATGGCAAAAATATAGCAACTGTCTGAAGTGCAGAGATATAAAGCAGAAGAAACTGTTACAGGAAAATATAGGAGATCATGAAAAATTGCTCCCTGGCAACGCTAAGCAGGATTTCTCAGATAATGTTAGAATTGCTTAGGCGTACAAGTAGAGTAAAATTGCAAACAACAATACACAAAAATAAACGTGTTCAATAAATGTTTCTGTTTGGTATTTGGGAATTAATAGCAGGATGGTGTTTATATGAGACTAACATTGAATAAGTACTTTCCAGCCCATTAGGAACTAAGCAGGATGTTAAATATCATCTAGTAGAGATAAACATTTTTAAATCAGCAGGACTGGATAAATCACACCCAGGGGTCTTAAAATATTTGACAGAGGAGAACTCTGGCTTACTAATGTTAATTTTTAATAAATTTTAATATCAGAGGGATTCCAGGTGACTGGAAGCAGGGTAGTAGCCTGGAGGAAAAAAAATAATAATAATAAAAAAAAAAAAAAAAGAGAAGGCAAGAGAAAGAGAGAGATAAAGAGGGAGGGAGAGAGGGAGAACAGGAAATCAAGTGCAATTACAGAGGAACTATTGAGCAGTTAACCTCACATCAGTCCCAGGTAAAATAATGGAAAAGCTGAGACAGGACTGAACTGCTGAAACATGAAAGAACAAGATTTTAATTACTGCCAGTCAACATGGGTTTATGGAAAATAGCTCTTCTCAAATAAAACTGGTTTCATGTTCTTCCTGCAAAAAAGCTAACTGCACAGATGTAGCAGACTTTCTCAAGGCTTTAGACTTAGTGCTTGACATACTTACTAGATAAACACTATATAACATCAAGGAAACTTATGTTAAATGGCTAAGACATGGCTATTTAACATAACACAAAACCCAGCTGCGTCAATCAGACCATCATCAAATGAGGATGCTTTACTGGCTTTCTGTGGGGCTTTGAAGTATACTCGGTGCTATTCAGCATTTTCACTGATGTTCTGCAAGGGAATATAAAGTCAGCATTGACAGACAGATGGCTGACACAAATATTAGCAGCCTGGTAAATAACGATGAAGAGAAAATACTCGTCCAGGGAGTATTTTGGGTCACTTGTTAAAGGGAGCCCATTTGAACTGAAGAAAAAGTTCGTGAAGTCAGAGCAAAGGTGATACGTAAGGCTGAGAAAAAATTAAACCTGATGGGACCCTGGAAAGCTGGGATTTTGGAGAAAGATTTAGAGATGACAGTGGGCACATAAGGCAGCATAAAGTTACAGACTCCAGAAAGACTTTAAAAAACAAAACAAAACAAAACAAAAAACAAACAAACAAACAAACAAACAAAGGCATTCTTCTCATGATCCATACACTTATAAATAAGGGAATGGCCAGCAGCAATGGGGTTTTTCCTCCACAGAAGCCTGGAGTCCAATTTTTCTATTCACTATTAAAATTCAAACGGCAACAGAGAGCAAGCACTAGACTGAGCTGGTGAATGGACACCTGACTCTGAGAGATTTAGAAACCTATCTACTGAGTTTATTGGGAAGAAGAAGAAAAACCATAATGTCTTTACACTGCATAGTTACTTCCAGACAAGAGCGTACTGGATACTAAAGGGTTCTTACATCTGGCAGAGGAAGGCATAATGAGAACCGGTGACTGGAAGTTGAAATCAGAAATTCAAAACGGTCA